TTTTTGTTTACACCGAAAAAATATAATCGATTCTGTCAAAACGTAATACTAGTTACGTGAAAATTCCCATTTTTCCTTATTTTGTGTCGATGCTTTTGAAAACTATTGAGAATTTATTTTCCTCCTTGAATAGTGCATTATATTAAAGGTATTTAAAAACTTGCCCATATAGAAAAGATACTRTACAATTTAAAATCGAAGCACTTAGTTCGATTACTTATAATGTAAATTGACACTCAAAAAAAACACTTATCATTGTAATATCAATATATACTCCTCACTCCTTTATATTCTATAACGAAAGTTATAACTAAAATTTATAATTTATAAATGTAGGATACAGTTTGAAAAATGTATATTATTTGTTACTTATGTGACATTTTCAATTATAAATATAGTAGTTTTGAAGGTAAAAATAAAGATAAATTATTTTTTAAAAACCCAATTATTCGCTATATGTATATATACGCTTACAAGGCTATAGTATAAGTACCTACCTAGGTAATCAAATAACTCGATAACTTAATAAGTAGCTTATTTTTAATTCAAATCTCCTTCATTCTAAAACGCATAGTTATATTAGTGATGGCAATACCTAGAAATGTAACAAACAAGTTTAATTTGTTATATAAATGTATGTATATACTTGTACAACGTGTGTATAATGTCCAATTAAAGCTTACAGAGAAATACCTAATTTCATATTTCTATCTCTGCAATACGTAGACTTTATCTCTGTATTTTTTCTGGCCATTCATCTTCAATGATATAACTTAAAAGTACACGAAGTTTAAAATTACATAACATCATATTATTATAAGTAAAACACCAAAATCATCATAAAAACAGTTGTTATAAACATTTTAAATAAAAAAAAAATTAAATATAAATATAAATTAAAAATTAACTTGCAATTCAAAAATGCTTTTAAACATAAAAACTAGGGACTTTGGGTTTTAAATATTTTGAAGCAGAAAATATTATTTTAYAGTAAAATAAAAATATTGAATTAATATATTTTATAACTAATATATTATGTAGTGAACCATGAGCAGAATTTTCACCACTTCAAGTAAAATACTTTAGAATTATTAATTCACTGTGATATTTATACCTTAAGGACATTACTATTAATTTTAAGACCATGAATATTTACTAAATCATACATATACCTACAAATATGGCCAAAATTGTATTTTAAAAAAATTCACTAGTTATTTTATTTTACTCATTGCGATAATAATCCATATAGTTATAAATCTATACTAAATTTAAATTAATATTATTTTGGATTAATATCCTTTTGGAAACTGTATTAATATTGAGAACTAAGGAGTGTACACTGTAAAACAAGAATTATATACGTACATTTAATTTAAGAATAACAAAAAGTAAATAAACTCACCAATATAAACTAATTTTATTTTATTATACTTTCATAGTTTCATATATATTACCTATATGCATCTATTCTTACATATTATTATAAGTACAATATATTCTATTATTAAATTGATCACGATAATGTGATAAAAAATAATTATTATTATGTAATATATTATGCTTACTTGAGCCGTTTGMTTTTTATTGCAACAGAAATTAATGAACGACACGTTCACAAAATCCGTGGCCACGACGACGGTAATCGTTTTATCGCCCAATGGCTCTTGGGACCCCATACACACGACACTTCTCAATTTCGCGTCCTAAATAAAACCGAGGGACATAAAATCATTCATCAAATATTACTACGTATTACATACGTATGCACACATACGCGCGCGCGCGCACACACACACACAGAGGTACACGTTTATATATAATAAATAAAAATACTTTTGGGACTCTGGCGTATTTTCCTGTCCTAGTATCCCGTATCGTCGACATGTCAATCACTTCACAATCCTGACAAAAAAAAAAAATGATAATAAACGCAGTCATAATAAWAATATAGATTAGATCATAATTATATAAAAAAATAATGTTTTTACTTTTTTCTGGTCCATCCAATACAAGAAAAATCCTCGTTCGTCTACTTTGATAGTAACCGGTAACCCAATTCCACTTTCCTGTAAAAATAAAATAAATTTAAATAACGGTAATACATACAATTATTTTTGCCAAATWATAATTATTAACATTGCCAATTTTTTTTTGTATACACAATATATTTTGTAAACAGCTTTCAACTTTAAATGTTACATTGGTAAGTTATTAATATAAGTAAATATGATTTTGTTGATGTTATTAGCTATATATATATATCTAACTTAACGTTTAATATTCATAATGATTGTAAATACGAATTTCACTGATGTCTGATATAACTATATAAGTTATAAATGAACAAAAGTATATGTATTAAAAGTATGGTTATAACATGAGATTAATATATTTGATCATAAAACCTATTATTCCGATATTATTAAAAATATAATAAACTATTATACATATTATATTTAGTCATAAACATAGTAATACAATATGAACTTCATACTTTACAGGAAATTAAATACATTGCTTGCGCTTGTGAACTAAAACAACAATTGATATTTTAGAGTTAACAATAAGCATAAGCTATATCTTTTAAATTTAAGTCCCATTTAACAAATCAATTGAGTTGAATAAAATCAATCGTTAAAAATTACATAAGTATAAAGATTAATATAAAAATAAAAGGACACAAAATACTTTTATTACAACTGCATATTCTTTGAGTGATTAAAAAATCTTAAAGTGACATAGTTATGAACTTTCAAAACATTAATGGAATTCAAATAAATTATTTTATTACGAAAAAAAAACATAAAAACAAAAAATTATAGTTTTAATAGTGGAAAAAAAGCCATGTAAATTTTGAATATTAAAACATTCCATCTCGGGGGCTTGAAATCKTTATAACATGAATAAACAATTTTATAATACCTAWGTAATTTTGTAAAAACCCATCAATTTAAATACATTCTAAACATTCTGACATTTATACGTATGATGTGTCTATCTTAATAATAATAACAATACATAATAATCATATAATAAAAAAATAATCAATTATTGTAGACTTGAGTGCAAACCCAATTAATAACTATAAACGTGACCGACTTCAATAAACTTTGGATTTAAATTTGCTTACATTAATTTAACACCAAAMATTCACTCCACCTATATAGTGAGAAAAATGAACGACGTTCATCGAGTTTAACCACGGTGTTGAACTTCCCAAATGCCTGTTCGCATTTTAATTCAAGGTTTATCTAGATACACAAAGTTTATACATTTTTAACTATCTTACCCGTGCCACAACCACGATTAGAACGTTAAATTCGATACACGAACGTTGCCTGAATCCGTAAATTTTAAACTGCCATACGCTGATTATAATTATATTTACATATCGTTCTACTGTACCACAATTAAATA